TTGTAATTCATCCGGAATGTTTACTTTAGGAAGAAAATTAGTTGAATGACAAGCATTGGTATGACGTTTTGTACACATTATGAATAATACAGCAACAGTTGCCGGAACACTAAGTATTACCGGTAATGCAAAACATGTTCGTTGTAGCATTACCTGAAATTTAATTAATGAATTGAATAAAGCTAACATTGTGGAAGAAGTATTATATCCGATCAATTTTAACATGATCAAATTTATAAAAATTAATCCAGATCGATTAATATGTTTAACTTTCCAAGCAAACATTTCCTTATAAAATAACATTTAAGATATTCATTTTTGGAATTCAATTAAGATTTTTTGATTAAAATTATTAACAAAATCAAATAATGAATAGCAATTTAATTTCATTAATTTTCATTTTTAAAAACATCCGGAAAATTTGATAATTTTAATTGAAAATTGTAATTGAATTCAATAATTTCTCTCTCATTAACAAAAAAAATTTGTAAAGGAAAAAAAGGATATGAGTTTTACCTTACATGCAAACTTAGATGTGTGATAGGTAATTGTCACAGCAATAGCTTGAATAAATACAATCCAAAGAGCATCAAATGGAGTTGTATATTGATTTAATTCGACATAATCATCGTATATCTAAAATTAATTAAAATAATTGAACAAAAATTTTAAAATTTACAGTAATTTTTAGCCAAACAAATGAATCATTCCTATCTTATTAGTTATTTCCGATAATAGTTTAGCTAAATATCTGTGGATAGAATCATTCTATGCATTGATATTTTTAAATGGCAAACTTATTGACTAAACTTATCAAAAAACTTAATCAAAAACTTAATCAATTAATTAATCAATTAATCAATTATATGAAAATAAATAGTTTAGCTAAATACCTATGGATAAAATCATTCTATGCATTGATATTTTTAAATGGCAAATTTATTGACTAAACTTAATCAAAAAACTTAATCAAAAACTTAATCAATTAATTAATCAATTAATCAATTATATGAAAATA